TACGAGCATTGGCAGTGCAAGCAAATTGGACCTTTCATCTAAAAGTATCTAACCCCTATCTATTAGCCCTCCTACTCTCCCCATGCAAAATAACAAATAAAAACCTTAAAAAAACAAACTTAGCAGAAAAAAAGTACAAAATACTTACCCTTAGACCCCTGGCTTCTTGTCACTTCATCTAGGCGCACTGTAAAGGAGTTCTCGTAAGGTTTGAGATCCTTAGCTTTCTATGGATCCTATAGTGAGGCTGAGTGAGCATAGTAGAGGGCTAGGCCTAGGGTAACTAACAATTATTTCCTCTATGTTTATTTTTTTAAAGTTTGGTTAGCAGTTTTGCATGGGGGGGAGGTGTAGTAAATAGGCTTTGGATTAGGGCTCGACCGATGTGGATCTCTCGGTACAGATACCTATACAATTATTGGCCACATTTCAGGCCGATATTCTGTTTCCATCCAGCAGCTGGTTGCAAACAGCAGGAGGTCGCCTAATATCGTCCGATTCCCTGTTTTTTTTTGTGTTCTGACAGCGGGCACTGTCAGAATACAAAGAAAAAAAAACATCAGGTAACCGAGGAGCATTAGCTTCCCTGCTATCTGTTTTTTTTTTGTATGTTGACAGCAGCCAATGGCTGCCGTCAAAGTAAGGGAAAAACAAACAAACAACAAATAGCACGGGATGCCGACCAGAGAGCGACACCCACTGTGCAAGTTCTTCAAGAAGCAGCTGAAATTTGCATAGTGTTTATTATTGGTAATAAAGGTCACTTTGACCAATACCAATAATTAGAAAATATGTTAATATTGGTCCCAATTATCAGTAGATCCGATAACCCCTACTTTAGATAGTTTTAGGTAAAGGGTTTAGTTTAAAGGGGAACTCCAGGACTTTGAAAAGTTAACCCTTGCAGTTGGGCTACCTCCGCACTGCAAGCGTTAACTGCTTGTTTTGGTCTATGGACAAAAAAAAAATAAAGTAAAATAAAATACTCACCTGATCTTTGGTCCTGTGGCAGTGACGGCTCGCCTCTCTCCACCTCCACTCTGGCTGTGATATGTCTATCAGGTCTTCATAGGCTGGTATTTATTTTTATGCTAATTTTTTATTACACCATACATAATTGTGATTGTAATAAAAATAAATAGGCAAAAATAGTTTTCTTTGTCCTGTTTTTTTTTTTTTTTTTAACTTTTGATTATTTCAAGCTTTTCACACAGTAGGAAAGAATGAAAATTGGCTACTTAAAAATAAAAATGAAAACAGTCCGTACATAAGAATGTATTTCTGGTTTCTTTTTTCTTGTTATGTTAAATATTAACAGTCTCGCTGCCTAGATCAATAACGAGTAAATAAACTGAGGCTGGGTTCACACCTGGGCATACCATAGGCACGTTTTTTAGCGCGTTTTTTTCGTTCAGTGAAACGCGCGTTCGACGCTCGTTTTTATACCTCCCCGCGGTATGATTTTTTTTTTCCTTTATTTTCTCCATCTTTTTTTTCGTTTTTTTTTTTTAAACTTTCAAACTTCCCGCCGGTGCCGCCCCATGCGACGCGGACGCTCACAAGGGACGGAGCCCGGAAGTCAGCAGCGGTCAGAGGACACAGCGGGGATCGCGGACAAGGTAAGTCCTACGCTGTATTACCGAGTGTGGCTCGGGGTTACCGCTTTGTTAACCCCGAGCCACACTGGGGAATACCAATGGATACGGAAAAAAGAAGCTCCTGTACTTGTTTGGGCGTAGGGCACGTTTCCACGGGCTGAAATACGCCCAGGTGGGAACCATGCCCATAGGGATTAATGGGATTTCACTTGCTGAGCGTTTTTCAGCGCTTCAATCAGCACTGAAAAACGCCCAGGTGTGAACCCAGCCTGAAGGTCTAGGCACTTGATCATGTCAATAATATGCAAAGTGAAAATGTTAGGAGGTCAGATAATTTGCTAAGAATTTGCTAGTAACTTTGCATATTAGCTGACCCCCTTCAACTGATACTTGGAATCATTTCTTGTCTGTGTCTGCCCCCTCTATCCCACATAGGAATAAACATACATGTGCTGGTAATCTGAGTATGTTGGTTTATGGTGATGAGACTCAACTTGCACGTTTGCCCACCATTTGATAGGCACCGGTAGCGTAAATATACAGTATATGGTCTAGAGCAAGGGTAGGCAAACTCTAACCATCCAGCTGTGATAAAACTTTAAATCCCATCATGCCTGTGGCTTTCAGAGTCTTGAAATTCATCAAGGTATTTGTAGTTACACCACAGCTGGAGGGCCGGAGTTTGCCTACCCCTGGTCTAGATGCTTGTTGTGAATAACAATAAGGCCAACTTATTTGATCAGGGGCCCCATCCCCACAACAAAAACTGCACTGTTAAAAAAATATACTAACATTGCGGCTTCTGTAGACTGCGCCTTGGTGAGGGTGACCCCATGATTCTTTCAGTGAAATCTCAAGGAATGAAGACCAGCCCAAATCTTGTGCAAAGATGCTCCTGTACTGTGCTGGGATCCTCATTGTTCAAATGACCCCGCTGGAAGGATGATGACATCACCCCCCAGCACCCCCTCTACAGGTTTGTACTGCAAGATCCACTTCAAAGTAAACATGTCAATAACCTATGAAGTTCAAACTAAGCATAGATAACCCCCACTAGAGATAACTACGACTTACTGAGGTACAGGACTAAGCTCATATAACTCTTCTTTATTGGAAATGTTAGTTTCCAAGCACGCAGGGCTTACCACTGTTCTACTTTTAATATACATGTATATAATTTTCTGGGGTATCATGGCAGCACAGCACACTCCAATAGTGTGCTAACGTCAGATGCCCCAGGAAAGGAAAATTACTGAAAATAACTTATATATATATATATATATATATATATATATATATA